TTATTTATTTTGTATTTAACTTGCCATTTCATTCATTCATGTACAGTGGGGCAAAAAAGTATTTAGTCAGCCACCAATTGTGCAAGTTCTCCCACTTAAAAAGATGAGAGAGGCCTGTAATTTTCATCATAGGTATACCTCAACTATGAGAGACAAAATGAGAAAAAAAATCCTGAAAATCACATTGTAGGATTTTTAAAGAATTAATTGGTAAATTCCTCGGTAAAATAAGTATTTGGGCACCTACAAACAAGCAAGATTTCTGGCTCTCACAAACCTGTAACTTCTTCTTTAAGAGGCTCCTCTGTCCTCCACTCGTTACCTGTGTTAATGGCATCTGTTTGAACTTGTTATCAGTATAAAAGACACCTGTCCACAACCTCAAACAGTCACACTCCAAACTCCACCATGGCCAAGACCAAAGAGCTGTCAAAGGACACCAGAAACAAAATTGTAGCCCTGCACCAGGCTGGGAAGACTGAATCTGCAATAGGTAAGCAGCTTTGTGTGAAGAAATCAACTGTGGGAGCAATTATTAGAAAATGGAAGACATACAAGACCACTGATAATCTCCCTCGATCTGGGGCTCCATGCAAGATCTCACCCCGTGGGGTCAAAATGATCCCAAGAACTGTGAGCAAAAATCCCAGAACCACACGGGGGGACCTAGTGAATGACCTGCAGAGAGCTGGGACCAAAGTAACAAAGGCTACCATCAGTAACACACTGCGCTGCCAGGGACTCAAATCCTGCAGTGCCAGATGTGTCCCCCTGCTTAAGCCAGTACATGTCCAGGCCTGTCTGAAGTTTGCTAGAGAGCATTTGGATGATCCAGAAGAGGATTGGGAGAATGTCATATGGTCAGATGAAACCAAAATATAACTTTTTGGTAAAAACTCAACTTGAGGAGAAAGAATGCTGAGTTGCATCCAAAGACTACCATACCTACTGTGAAGCATGGGGGTGGAAATATCATGCTTTGGGGCTGTTTTTCTGCAAAGGGACCAGGACGACTGATCCGTGTAAACGAACGAATGAATGGGGCCATGTATCGTGAGATTTTGAGTGAAAACCTCCTTCCATCAGCAAGGGCATTGAAGATGAAACGTGGCTGGGTCTTTCAGCATGACAATGATCCCAAACACACCGCCCGGGCAATGAAGGAGTGGCTTCGTAAGAAGCATTTCAAGGTCCTGGAGTGGCCTAGCCAGTCTCCAGATCTCAACCCCATAGAAAATCTTTGGAGGGAGTTGAAAATCCGTGTTGCCCAGCGACAGCCCCAAAACATTACTGCTCTAGAGGAGATCTGCATGGAGGAATGGGCCAAAATACCAGCAACAGTGTGTGAAAACCTTGTGAAGACTTACAGAAAACGTTTGACCTCTGTCATTGCCAACAAAGGGTATATAACAAAGTATTGAGATTAAATTTTGTTATTGACCAAATACTTATTTTCCACCATAATTTGCAAATAAATTCTTTAAAAATCCTACAATGTGATTTTCTGGATTTTCTTTTCTCATTTTGTCTCTCATAGTTGAGGTATACCTATGATGAAAATTACAGGCCTCTCTCATCTTTTTAAGTCGGAGAACTTGCACAATTGGTGGCTGACTAAATACTTTTTTTCCCCACTGTAGCTGCCTGTATTTCTATGACTGTTGCCTACGTAGAACGACGGTGCAGAGGTGATGCCAAGATGGCCACCAAGTGACTGACTTGCCTTTTATTATTTTTTGGACTGGTAGTGAAAGAAAAAGTGACTGATCATGTGCATAAACACTACAGCTCCAATATGTATAGCGAGCATGTGCTCTATCCACATTAGGTCATTGCTTAGTTTTGTTGGTTGCAGCTAGGGCTTTCTCCCTGAGCATGATCTAGCATGTGAACAAATTAATGTATAAGAAACAGGAAGGATGATTAAATATGAAGTTAATCTTTGACTAGTATCGTGTGATTCACACAGCATTAATAAGAAGTTGACATCAGTTCCCAGTTTAAGCTCAGAAGCTACGGTTTTGTGTATCAAGCTGTTCTTCTCTGTAGCACCTCTGGGTGAATGAAGTCATGTTCTTTCATAAACCATTCAAAGTGTACCAGAGTGGGTATCTGAGCGCTAAGTGTGTGCACGCAAGCTTATGTCAGTAAGTCTTTAACTCAAATTACTGATATGTAGTAATGTTACAATAATGTACAGTATGCAGATGTGATACTACAAGTTCATTTAGATGTGCCTGGATGCCTTTCTGCCTCTACACTGTTTCAATTCCCTTTTTTCAGGTTTCAGAAACAAACAAAAAAGATGTCCAAACATTAGCCTTTGTCGTTCTGCTGTAGCTTTAGGTTAATAACGTTGATACTGTGTATATAAGCTATTTCAGTGCTTCAAGATCATCATAAAATGATCATTTTACCATTTGTTATATCAATGAAAACACCACCAAGATCTGATTTCCTGAATGTATGAAGACGTAATCCAAACCAAAGATCTATTACACCCAAGGTTTGTCTGGCTCCATCACTATCTATAACAATATGAAGACGTTGACCTATTAGCTTCTTATTGCAAGATTACAACTCTGTTCGTCTTTGTCAAATGTTACATAACCCCAATCACACAGTGAAGGCACATTCACTTATATAACCAAAATGATTTACTCTGGAGCCAAGAGTCCTTACATTTGTTTAGAGACTTAAGGGGGTAGGTGCTAATTCAGCGACTGTTCCAGTGGCTGTTTAGACAACATGTAGTGCTCTTCAAGGTCTTCGTTAGTGTAATATCAGGTCGTTTTCACACACAAAATTAGATCTAAACGTTGTTAAATTAAGGATGGTTTTATGAAAAGGTCATCCTCTCCCAAACCCCTTCTGGATGGACTCAATTACTGGTAAATGTTTTGTCTGTTCACAGTTGTAAACTGACCATCATGTTTGTTTGACTTCCTCCCAGTAGACTCAATAAATGCTGTGTTTCTTCCCTTAGAGTGAGGAACAATGTAGTGTTGCTTCACAATACAGACTCTCTTTGTGATAACCCGACTCGCTCGTAAATGCTCACGACCATTCACTGACCCTGGAAAGGATACGTGTCTACATTAATAGTGTTTAATAAAGTAAATCTGCAACAGCAGGCAGCCTCCTCGGGCAAAATGAACGAACGTTTGGAGAATTCCGTTATCCCTAAAAGGCAGACATGAGGCAATTTCTCCATAAAACCTGAACCCACTAAAAAGGGGCCTTGCCAAGCACAGAAAGGCCATTTTGAGCATTCAAGAGCCAAATGACTTAATGCACGTAAAATCAATCCATGAACTCATTGGTTGAGATTAGCTTTAAAGAACCACCAATCTCATTCTTTAGACCTGTCATCAACGTTCACACACAAGCGCTCTGATTGACCGTCAGACAAACAAAGTGATTGTGTTATTTGAATCCAGACTCCAAAGCGCGTCAGCGGACGTGCTAAGTAACTTCTGACAGCCCATTTGTTTTGGGCCTCCCACTAAAGAGATTACCAGAGGCAAATACCATCAGTGAAGGGGGTTCACAGAGATAAATGAAGGTATTTGTTTAATACAGACTGACTGACTTTATGCAGCTGCCAAGTTCTAGATGAAATGGTGAAGGGGTTTAGGGCAGTGGAGCTGGATAAGACCGATTCGGAGTAGGAAAAATCATCCAAAGGCTAAAAATGGACGATGATTTGGGCATGTCGCCCACATTGGGGGATTTGTTTAAAGCACTATTGAGTGATTCATTGTCAGTGGAGAAAAACACAGAAGTACTTTTACTAATTACCCTACGTATGGGTGAATTTGTGGCTGTATGCTTATTGAATGCCTGTCTACTTGGAATTTATGGAAACAATTTCAAGATAGCTTTTTCATAATCACATCGGCATGTGTTAAGTTTAGGTTTTGTAATGTCTCACAAATGCCTTTGGGAAAACTTTGATGGGTTTAATGGGTTGTAGTGTAGAACAGCAATCTACATCAGAAGAAGAGAAGGGACTCTGTTGTCAGATGCAAATCTTACACAGACCTTTATTGTTCTTTTAATAGTTGATTTTTACACCACATACTGTACATACAGGCCACCGCAGTCCTTCTCAATAATGTACATCCTTCTCATTTACAAACTTTTACAGACGTTTACAGTGGTCATAACATACTTTAACCTTCTTTAACAGTTAATTTCTCCTAAACATACTTTCATTTTCCTTCTCAAAACGACACCTTGGCTTTTAAACCAGTGTATCAAACCTTTCTACTTCATGAAGACACTACGAAAATAAAAATAACAGCAAACCAATGTCCATGAATGGTTGCTAATAGTAGCGCCGCCAATCATCAAGTCCATCTAGTTGTATCCAACTCTATTCCAAAGTTCCTTCTAAATCTCACATCAACATTTCTCAAGCCCTCATTAAACATTCAACTTTTCTTCTACCCAACAGTCCATTTCTACATCAACTTTCTGCTTTGACAAGCATGTACATGCACTGGCCCCTCATGATAATACAGGCAGGACTCAACAAGTAAAGCTCCATGCAAGATGCTACATTGAAATATTCATCCATCATTTTGGGTGGTGGAAAACATATGGCTCAGGTTAGATTTTTTTGCATTAACAAAATAGCAAATTTTCCATTTGGACAGTTTAAAATCATATTGCTACAAAACAGCATTTTGTCTTGACAAATTATACCATCTGATTTAAATATATAAAATGGAGCTGATAAAACATCTGTTTCATGGGAATGTACTTGTAAGACTTGCCTTCCAGTAGAGCTATGAATCAGACTTTTACACAGTATTCATTGCTTTGGATATTTCATATTTTTTTCTCTGTGGGCATTCTTCCTTTCTAAAAGCTAAACACAGTGCTTTTAATAAAAACAAAAAAGAGCTACAGTAAATATCTTATTGAGAAGTAAAAAAAAAAGAAACTTTAATTACAAAAAAAAAAAAAACAATATTAATAAAATAAAACAAAAATTATGACCAAACTAACAGTAAACAAGACCTAGATGTGTGATCTTGCGCTTTCACACAAATCAGCATGGTGATTTAAAGTGTGTGGGATGTGACATCGATCCCTTGAGATCCACACAGTTGCCTCACAAATACTGTCTTTCTGGTACTGGTGCGGCCCACATGGACCTGGGAGGGTTTTGGGGGGAGGGATTGGTAATAGTAGCTGCCATTGTGGACAGTAACACAAAAACACTGCTGTAGAAACACACAGTCCGTACACACACATAAATACAAGTCCTCCACACGGTGCCACTCCATGTGCACCCTGGGATAGCTCAGTCTTTACACCATGGTCTCCTTCCTCTTACCCAGTGAACAGATTGAACGCTTGTCCTTTTTGGATTTACGGGGCTGGAAGGGGGCGGAAATTGAAGAGGATGAAGAGGATGAGGAGAGGGTGGAGGTTGCGGAGGGAGTGGGACTCGGGGGCTCCTCGGAGCTGGGGGAGGAAGGGGCGGAGGCCGCGGCCCGTGGACAGTTCTCATCGGTCTCTTCCATATGGATGATGGCGGAGACAGAAGACGAGCGCCGTTTGGTACAAATGTCATTACTTGCAGGGGTGGACAAGGATTCGTTCTCATGGAGTGGCGAATCTTTCTGGGTCGACATGGCAGTGCGGAGGCAGTTGAGCCATTGCTGCTTGTGGAAGATGTCATTGACCTGCAGTGTATGGGACTGGCCCTGAGATGGGTCCTGGAAGCGTACCCGGAAGATGTTCTTGGCTGGGGGGGAGAGATATTCCAATGAGCAAAAGGAAACAAAAAATGACTAAAGGAAAATGTGTGATCAGCTTGACGTTGAGAGTTGTCAACCTTACCTTTATCGGCATTAATAAAGGCTCCTCGGAATGAGCCACCCATGCGGACGTCTCCGTCCTGCAGGTCTTCTAATACGAGATCCTGCACTGGGATTGGCTGGCGGTACACCTGGAAACAATGCCGATCATTCCGCGTCACAGGCCGGGTCAAGACCAGAACCTCCGTAAAGAGGAACACATGCAACTTCTAAAAAGAGGGCAAAGGAAAAAGAGAGATCAGGTTATTGACATTTTGTTTGAACGTTGGACTGATTTGCAAGTATTAACAGTTTTCTCTCCTGGCACTCTCAAAGATTCTCCTGTCATGGTGTCATGTGTTTCAGAGACAAAAGGAGCTAATTCCTTACCTCTAATGGCCTTATTTGGAATATGGTGGCTTATTTTCCAAAGATTAAAAGACAGAAGTAATTTCCCCCCATCGGTTCGGGCTGTTATGGGCGTGTTTGTATGGAAGACAAAAACTCACCGTGCCACTTTTGTTGCGAAGTTCCCCGTGGCAAAGCAGGCTCTTGCACTGATCTATGTGAGGGTCTTTCTGTCTGTCATCCAAATATTCCAGCTTATCGATATAGTATTGACAGTCAGACTCTCCTTTCTTCATGTTTATGTCAGCCAACACGGCCTGAATGATGCTTATCTGGAGACAACGAACGAAGGCAGCATTAACACCAAATGTCACCTAAACGACTCCAGTTGAAAGCCTATAGTTGCTAGATTTGTGTTCGTACTTACCGCCTGCTCAAGGCTTGCTGTGTCTGGGTGATCTGGTGGTGTGTGTCTTAAAATCTCTTTCAGAAGAAGGGGGTATTTGACCAGTCGTGAACGAGGGATGTCTAAGAAGCTCCACAAGTCTAGTTTCCTGCTGAAAGGTGACTCAAGGCAGCGCTGTAGGAAGTCCTGAACTCTTGGGTCCTGTTTCTTCTGATCAAGCAAGGCTTTGGCGGCCAGCTGGTTACTGCAATATGCCCTGTAAGCATTTAACCTTGGCAGCTGTGGAGAAAAGCGAGTTAGTCTTAACAATCTAATGATGCTCAACAGCTAATGTGTCTTTCATAATAATAAAAAGACTATAAAGAGATGGATATTTACCCAGTCCACAACAATCTTGCCGATCTGTCCCACTGTGCCATCTGGGCCTGTAGCCTTCGCCAACTGAGCGAGAAGATCTGATTGGGTAAAGAATAAGTTAGCACTAACTTGTCATCATAAATACTAAAATAAGATGTTGTGTACAATATTCACCTTCATGAAGAGGAATATAAGCATCCAAGTCTCCAAAGATGGCTGTCAACTCCTCCTCGGACATGATAGAAAGTTTTAACATTGGGTCATGGTAAGCCTGGACACACAAAATGAGAAAATGATGAGTAAATAACAGCAGCGTCTAATTTTACAGAGAGACATTTTTGGCTATAAATGGAGGAGGGAAGCGAGCCAACGTATCTGACTCAAAGCACAGCCAAGAGCTTTTTCAGTCTGTTTGTTTTGAATGTTCTAACAAAAAAATTTGAAATGGACAAACCTTTCGGGCTAATTTCAGGTCTTCAATCAGGTCCTGTTCACCTCGAGACAGCTCAAAAATAGCCTGGAAAGACAAAATGATCACATTCATAACCAAGAAAATTGTTTGGGTATTTTTAGTCAAGGCCCTACAAATCTGTCTGATTCCTCTCTTTGGTGGGAAATATTTGAGGGGCTCACAGTTTGCTGTAATGTCTGACTACTAGTTCTAGCTGTGAATGAGAGGTGGAGGCTTTGTGCGTCAGACCGGCCAGTCTGTGTTAGCACTTTACGTCTGACTCTGAGATGCCAGAATGCAGCCGGACTTTCGCAGCTCCATTCCACTGTGTGCCAATAACACACGGCAAAAAAACACAGCCAGACTGAGAGGTAGAGAGAGGCAGAATGAAAACCGAGTGAGAGGAGGAACCGCGCGCTTTCCAAGCCCCAGGCCCTTTAGGTTTAATACGTCACAAAAGCCTGATTCAGTAGCGTCTGGCAGGGGGACTGAAAGTGGATTTAATAGTCTGGGTTTCTCAGTGCTGTCTGGATTCCATAGCGCCGACTGTACTCACCTCTTGTCTCTTAATCTCTTTGGTGGAAAAGGTCCCTTTTTGATGGACGTCCAGGGTCTCGGACCAGAGTGTGCTGTTGCGTCGCTTGGGTGGCGTGGGAGCCACGGCCTTGCTGCAGGGTTTCTGCTGGGGCACGCCCGGAGACCGCCCATCGCCCCGAAATGAGGCCTGGAGGGTCTGGCCGAAGCGTCGGACGACCCCATTCTTCACAGGAGAGATGAGGTTCGCCAGCGAGGTCACTCGGCCGAGAGGCCGCACACGCTTAGTACAGGGTTCCTATGAGAGACAAGGATGGAAATAAAAGTTAAAACTTAATCACCCCATACTGACCACAACAGATTCCTTAGTGCTTCATTAACTGCCAACACGAGACGCCTAAAATCAAGAATAGAGCACAAGTTGCTGCTTCATGTAAACCGAGGCTATCGTAAGAGTCACTGTATACACACTCCACTGTTGCGGGTGTGAAGGGGTCAACCGGAGGTCAGGATGATTGGTGTTTCCTGAACGACAGACAGCTAGGCGGAAGCTCCAGCCTCTGGAGTGAGCCACAGTTATGCCAGTCATGTGAGATTGACCCCCTCAGCAAAAAAAAAAGTGTGTATGTGTGTGTATACATACATACATATATATATATATATATATACGACACATACAAACACAAACAAAGACCCCTCTCTGACTGCGACCCTGGAGACAGTCAGCATGACTGGAATGTAGGAGACTCCAATCAGCTGTCCCACTCTGATGACCCACACACACTCGACATCATAGCCTAACTATAGCAAACAGGCCCCCTGATCAGAGTTGTTGTTCACTTAACGGCGATAAATTTGCTCTCTCAAGGAGAATTTTAAGAGCTGTTGGATGTGTGTTTATGTGGGTCAGATAGACCACCACAGGGAGTTACAGATTTGACCCAGGTCTTTAAACAAGGTGCACTCTACTCCCCTCTACCCTGCTGCTTTCCCTCCTTTCCTCTGTTTATGGCTTCGTGTTGAGGCAGGCCCTGTAGCCCTTGCGTGAGAGAGACAGGCACACCTGAACCCCCTGGAAGAGGGGGATGTGTGCTCACTCTCAAACCCTATATCCATAATGACTGGGCCTCTAGCCAACTTCAACAGACTTGAGAAGGGGAGGGGGGGAATCAAAGCAAAGGAGATCTGAGACATTGATCCTACACTAGAAATCTGACTGAAAACTACTCCTATCATTCCTGGAACAATGTGAGCTTTGTCATCAAAAAAGTGTTTGTGTCTTTCAAACAGCGGGAACAAAAAGCACTATGTGCTTGCACTTTTTAAAAATGCACATTTCGATAGATTTTCCAGTGCTGGATGGTTTTCCAGCTGCTGAAAGTATTTAAAAAAAGGATGAGTTGTTGTCATCTTGGCAAAGCGTAACCAAGGAACCATGCCACTGACCAGCGGAGACAGCTGCCGAGCAGATCTACAAACTAATTTTAGCAGGAACTGCAACTGTGGCCCAAGCACAACTGGACTTGGCCACCCAGATCCGCCTGCCTGCCCTTCCTCTGCTGTAACATATGCAAGTAAACATGAAGACCACATCTGAACCACCTCTACCGGTGGCCAAAAACACAAGATGTTGGGGAGACTGACCTCTGTCAAGCAGTCTGGCTAAAACTGAATTCAAATGAGCACAGCAGTACCTGTGTGAGCCATCACGGGCTCTAAGCAAATAATCACAGTGTTGTTGCTGCCCATTGCACTCTTCCTGCTGTTTAGGGATTGGGACTTTATTATTTGTGAGGACGAGAGAGAGAGGAAAAAAAATAAATTGTAGATTATCTAGTGGAAAGAGCAACATGTAGGCAGACAGATAGAATGATAGTGTGGCTATTTCTGGTTGTGTTGTCTCTTAGGGACCCCCTGGGAGAGTTGAATTGGAAGAACATAGCAAGGGGGAAGCCTCCCCCACAGGAGTCAATGCTTAGACTACTGCCGTTTAGTAATGTGTGAGTGTGTTTGCTTGGCTATATGTTGGGGACAAAATTGTCACTAGATGTTGGCTAAATCTGATCAAACTTTCCATTTTTTTTATTCTAAACATGCAAAATATTTTATTTTATGGGTACTGTTAATATTTTGTTATTATTAGCTGTAACTAAACAGGAGCAGTCTATGGTATTTCCCTTGTTCTTTCCTCAAAATCCATATGATGGACAGATTAAATCTAAATTCTTACTGGCAAGCCATGCACATGTTTACCTGGCAATCAAACAATAATTTGTGATTTAAAAAATGAATGAGGGGAACCAAATTGTGGTTAAAGAATGGTTTCTCAGCCTTGAGCCACAACTTCCTAAAAATCTCCTGATTCATTCATAATTTGCTGCTACTGCTTTAGCCTTCCCAACAACTAAAGCATTTCTGTGGCCACTTCCGAATCTGAGTTGAAACCGCAAATAGGAACAGCAGCCCGCTGAAGAGAAGTGAGATAAAAGCCTCTTTCTGGGTCATAAATGCATTTCTAAATACTAAGAACAGGGCTCAAGCACACCTTAGCTATGGGCTGTGATTGCTTTCAGACAGCTGGAATGTTCTTCATCTCTGCATGCTCACACCTTCAAAAAAACCTTTTTTTTTAAAAGCCCCGAGGGGTCCCTCAAACCAATAATATAACTGCAAACCTTTTGCTCAGGTGTACAGCCAAACACACAGGCTTTAAACTTCCTGTATAGGCATATTTAGCCACCACAAAGAATGACAAACTGACAAAGAAATTAAAAAAAAAAGTTAAAATGTAAACCAGTAACTCAATGACTATAGGTGAGAAGACCTTTAGCTTTGTTGATTTGCCGATCACTCACTCAAGTCTCACACCCTTGAGAAACACACCTGTGGTCTTACTCCTTTAAAGGCAAGTGTGTGTACGAGATAACAACAGGGCAAGGTTCTGACTTAGCTGATAAAGAATGTGAAGGGAACCCAAATGTTTTTATCAAGCAAGATAAGGAGCAAAAGGACAGAATTTGTGATTAATCGGCTTTGGGTCTCACCTCTAGTTCTTTGTAAGTCTGGTTCTGGTAGTCTATCTTCTGTAAAGTCCGTTTGATAGGTACCACACAAGGTTCATCGTAAGCCACCATTTCTTTCAATAAAATCCACTGGTTGATTTCTGTTATTTCCAAGGGTCGGCAATAATCCACAAGTGATTCTTAAATAAATACGTGATTTAACATAAGGGGTCTGAAAACTTCACCGTCCCCCCCCAACTCATGATTGTCCGCCTGAGTGGAGCTTTCTAACTTCTAAACACACTCTCTGTGTGTGCGCTGTAACAATCTCTAACTTTGTTCTAGGGATGTGAGAGGTAGGGAGTGCTTGTATACAGAGAGTTTTGAAAGGGGCGGAGTCAGTGTGTAAACTCACCAATGGCAGAGGAGGGGATATGTAAAAGAATCTGAAGAAACAAAGTCTGAGAAAACCTGGCAATCTCTGCAACCTCAAATCAACAAAGCAAGCTTTTGTCTACTAGATATTACCAAATCAGAAATGTATTATCAAAACATTTCATGGTCCATAAAGCAGGAGAGCTTCTAAATCTTATGTAAAATCTTGTTTATTAAATAATCATTTTCATTTTTATAAACTAATTGTCTGTCTCTCAAACTTAATTTAAATCCTAATTTAAAAAAATGTTGGACCTTAAAACAAACTAACCAACCAAACCTCTCCTATTCCCCAGTTTACAGTAGAAGTTTTAAGATAAAATGGACAACAGTCCAGCTTAGTGGTGAGTGAAAGCAAGTCTGTTTCTATTTGCAATGTGGATTGGTTTATGTATGTCTTTGAGTTGCATGAAGGGAGTAAAGTACAGGCATATTTGCTTTGAGATCTGCCTAATGAAGAACTGAGTCATTATCACCCACTCATCAGGGGGGTGGGGAGGTCTGATAAATCAAAAGTTTCACAGGTCTGAACCAGAAACTGACCCAGACCACGCCATAAACAAATCCTGCTTAACAAAAGCTGCTTTTCTCTATATTTCTCAGCGTACACAAAACAGCACAGCCTCCACATTTGGGTGACCAAAAAAACACTAAGGGGATGTTCACAGACCCAAATCTTTTACTGCTACCTTCCCACACTGTCAGCAGAGGTATTAACTTCAGCTGCGCAAATGGAATGGCATGATGTGTCATCGTGTTTTAGGAGAGATTTGTGTTAAAAAGTGTCAGTTCAGCAAATGGAGATGAACGATGTGCAGACTCTAAGCTCACCCTCCTGTGTCAACACAAGAGTGTGAAACAGGACATGCATTAGTGTGTTTAGATCAGGACATCTTCCACTGCTCCGTGGACGGGTCAAACGGAAGCAGGGTTATTTGTTTACATGTTTTTCTATTATTCAAAACATTATACTACCTATTTTCACAACTAATCAGGGTATTTTCATTGTGTGTGTGTGTGTGTGTGTATATATATATATATGTGTATATGTATTTTTTTCTGTCAAACTTATATAAAATTGTGGGTGCATACATTTTACAGTTGTATGTGTAATATGCATGTGTATATATTATAATAATATTTAAATATACAAATATAATTTACATATAACTTTTATTTTTAGATACCCCGTGTAATAAATTGTACTATTCTGGACAATGTTTGAAACTTTGTATTGCCTCCTTATGATAAATCATTTGTATTCCTCCTTTCTAAGTCGCTTTGGATAAAAATGCTAATGATTAAATATAAATCTCTTTTTTTAAACAAAAAAAAATATATAATTTTAATTATACTTTTTAGACTCATCTTTGCCATAAGTATATTAGATGTTGGTGGTAGCAATAGTCATGGCTTTAGTCATGTGACTACTCGGCACATAATGGTTGTGCACAAAAAAAAAAAAAAAATATGTATGGCCCAATTTTATGTCGGTGGGGCAACACTTCTCATGTTATTTCCTCCTTATGATAAATCATTTGTATTCCTCCTTTCTAAGTCGCTTTGGATAAAAATGCTAATGATTAAATATAAATCTCTTTTTTTAAACAAAAAAATATATATAATTTTAATTATACTTTTTAGACTCATCTTTGCCATAAGTATATTAGATGTTGGTGGTAGCAATAGTCATGGCTTTAGTCATGTGACTACTCGGCACATAATGGTTGTGCACAAAAAAAAAAAAAAGAATATGTATGGCTCAATTTTATATCGGTGTGGGTGAGCTCAATAACAGGGTTCCCTTCTTTACTTATCCCATGTGGAGACACTTTCATACTGTTCATACTGTTTTGACGAGAGGTGTGGCAGCCATATTGCATGAGAGCGCGGATCAGCCTGCACCCTCTGCGGGCTAACACCTCGACACACATGACAGCTGGACATTTGGGTGTGAAGCACAAACACAGCACTCCTGCTTCAGTGCTAAACACCATCACACAAGAGTGACTCACTTCATGCGAGCCGTGTGTGAGCTTGCCTAACGGGAAAATGTGTGCTAACTTGCTACAATCTGATGAACCTCTGCTGAATAGGCAGTGAGCGGAAAGGTGTGCAGTGGATCGTGGTGCTGCCCCCTGGTGGATAATTCAATGGTATTTCAGACAAGATGACTGACTGCTGGCATTTCAAATTTAATTCTTTGACTGGATGTTCCAGGATGCATTATCAATACTTGTACAGACTTTGATTATCAAAATAAAGAACACCTTACGATAAAGCTCTCTAGATTATCTCTTCTGTCCAAGTTCTTTGAAAGTGTTCTGTTTCTCATCAGTGTTGCAGGAAACCGTGTTTCACAAGGTACCAAGTATTCATGTACCTTAACAAAGATGTGGCTAAAAGACAAGCCCGTACTGGGAATAGGCTGTAGGTGCGTGTGACGTCTGAGTGTGTTGGTATAAACCCAACACAGGAACACCCAACTGTTTTTCTCTGGAATCACTCTATCAATTGCTTCATGACCCATCCCCCATTCATTCATCTTCTGTCTGGGATCTTATCTGTCTTTTTCCTCCATGATGTTTACAAAATGTAAATATGAAACCCTTCATGTAAATGTAAATATTCCACACCAGCATGATGTTCCAAACCTGTATACATTTCTTGTGTGGAACAAAAATAAGACCTTTTGAAGAAAGTAGTTGATTTAAAAGCTATTGTATGGCTTCTGAAGACTTGGAATATAGCACAAAAATCATATGAGCCCCTCTTACTGGTGCCAGAACTGGAGCCCAATTGGGATCCGGGATGCACTTTTGTACCTGGTTCCGAATCGGCCCCAAAACCTTGCTGGTCTTGAACAAGGGAACATATGATTTCAGTAGGCGGAGCTTCCACTACAGACTGCAGTTTGAAAGGCACTATTTTTAAAAGCCGTCAAGAGTTCAGGTAAATTAACAACAATTAAATGTCAGTTCAGCAGTGGTCGGTAGAAGAGACCAACGCTCTGCATGAGATAACAAGCGATTCCTGTCACATGTTGGTGATGTAGAGGGTTCTGCTCCCTGCCAGTGGAAAGGCGAGCCGTAGCCGGTTCTAAAAAAGTGCTACCTTTTGCAGAGCACTGGCTCCAGCCCCAGTGGAAGAGTGGCAGAGCTCGCAAAATCGCTAGCCCCACATCCCAGGGCTATTGTGTCTTTCAGTCAGGCTACCAAAAAGTATCACCTCCCTGCCCGACGGGCTATCACGGTACAGGGTTCTCACGGTTCCTTAAAAAGTCTTACATTTAATTGCATCAAATTTAAGGCCATAAAGTCTGAAGTACCTTAAAAGGAATAAATAAAATCTTAATAATTCAAGAGGTCCTAGATTTGGGGACGGAAAGACAAGAATGGATGATTATGGATTAATGTGATTTAAGCTTCAAAAGGATATGATTTAATTGAGTAAATAAGAGCGCTGCACATTTCAAAGTCAAAATCCCCACATCCCAGGGCTATTGTGTCTTTCAGTCAGGCTACCAAAAAGTATCACCTCCCTGCCCGACGGGCTATCACGGTACAGGGTTCTCACGGTTCCTTAAAAAGTCTTACATTTAATTGCATCAAATTTAAGGCCATAAAGTCTGAAGTACCTTAAAAGGAATAAATAAAATCTTAATAATTCAAGAGGTCCTAGATTTGGGGACGGAAAGACAAGAATGGATGATTATGGATTAATGTGATTTAAGCTTCAAAAGGATATGATTTAATTGAGTAAATAAGAGCGCTGCACATTTCAAAGTCAAAATGTGGCGTGTGTGTTTTTATGTGAATGTATCTCTGAAGAGAACCGGCTACCTTCAGAAAAGTTTTGATGATATTTTCATTTAAACTTTTCTATAATGCCTGATAATGTAGTGTTTGTGAGTGCAGCGCTTCTTTCGTGTACAGCCGTTACCGGAGAAACCGCTATTTCTGCCACTCCAAAAGTGTCACCTAGTTGCAGGAAATGAATTTGCATTTTCAAGAAGCCCGTTTGCTGTTTTTGTTTAGACCAATGTGAAAATCGACCCATGTTTTTACGCAGCAAACACTTACAGTTGTAAATGTGAACCGGTGAATCGATAAGAAGCTAATGTGCCTTCTAATAATCTAAACAATTAAGACAGTAAGAGTTTTATGTTTTAAGTTAATATAATATTTATAGCCTACATCTGACTTTTTCCTAAAAATGTGATGTTTATCTTTCTTTCTTTTTTTTTTCTTTTTTTTGTGAAAACCTGTACCTGAATTGTAAATGTCCTTTTATGGTTAAATATGTTACCAGACATTCCTCATATGGCATTAATTTAATTTATGCAGGTCTTAAAAGGGTCATAAAATGCCATATATTTGAATTTAAAAATCCTGCAGGTACCCTTTAAATAGTGAAATAAAATTCCTTCCCTGATATTTGTATTTTGAAAATGTTTTTGATTGATTGTTCTGACTCCTATTCAATTTTCTCCATTATTTTTTTTTATAATATTCGGGCTAGTTAAACTCATTTCGTGTGAGGAAATGACAAGCGTTTCATTTTAAGGCAAGCTGTCTCTATAATAATCTATCTTAGTTCCTGACACTCATTTGCAACATCCTCTTATAAATACAGAAACTAAAACCGAAACACAAAATCAGAGGGCCGACAGACAGGCAGATAAACCCAAACTTGTTTCAAGTCATCATGTGACTTGCAGTAAACAAGTCAACATTTGTCAACATTTTTACCATTACAATGGGTTCGCTAAACGTGTGGAACCATAATTAGCTTTTTAGCCATTTCTTATTGTGCAACCAAAACTCCATCTACAGAAAAACAGATAAAAATCACATACATCCTGATCTCAAGTATATTTAACTACAAT